GGGAAGTACTGGATAGAAAATTGTACCCTGCAATATAGCATAATGAATCCTTTATTATTTGTTGTTATGATAAACCATGCATTAAAAGAAATACAAAGTGTTCATTTTCTGTAGACAATGAAGCTATTTGGAAAAGTGAAAGGAAGATAAAATATCTTGTTTCAAAAGTACAACAAGCAATTCCCAATATAGAAACAATATCTTTTAGATTGGCTTTTAAATGTTCTGTTGAAACAAAAGTAAAAATATTTACACATAAAATGAAAAAGGATATAAAACAAAAGATGTATAATCAGAAACTTGAAGGGGTGGAACAATATAAATGTTTAGAATTTGGTATGATAAAAAATTAACCTGGAATAAATGCACATTGAAAATTTAAGGGACTACTGGCGAAAAGGCACAAAGATGGACATGGTAAGGGAATTTACAAGTTCTGTGAGGATGTGTAATGTCTGTACAGAGCATGTTTGGAATATCTAGAGAAGTCAATGACTCCAATGGAAGAGTTTTCAGCATCCATGCTGATGGATCTGAGTGAAAAACCAAACTGGAAGAATGTGGAGGCCTGCATTAAATACCTAGGAGAGAAGGGGGGGGCTAATTGACAATGTTAAGTGTTTTGACAAGGACACAAATCTGAAGAACTCCTTTGAAAGGTGCAATAGTGATGAGTTCAAGGCCTGCAGGTGCACCAGAAATGGACCAAATACTTTGAGAAGGCAAAGAGTAGCAATGTTACACAGAACTACTGAAGTTTGATTGATTGATTGATTGTTTGTCTTTGTACTTCTGTCTCACATTGTAAATGTCGAGAGGGTTTTTCCACTGATGCACTGCCAGTGGACCAAGGAGATGAAACAGCTGTCAGTTAAGACACTGAAGGGGATTCTATTGGTGCAAGATTCTTTTAAAAAAACTTCTTGCAAAGACTTCAATGTCTGTCATTGAGCAACGGAAAACTGCTGGAAAAAGTTCAGTTCTGCAGCAGAATATAGATGGGCAGAATGGAAGATGAGGGAAATAAGCTGGGTGAAGAAGAAAAGCAGGAGGTAGAAGAAAACCAGAGTTTAGATTACAAGTATAGATCCTTTTTGTTTGTTGAATTTTTATCGTTGTGAGACTGTTTCATTTATTACATTAGGAGGGTAGTTAGAGGTATTTTGTTGAATCTTTATTTTCTAATGCAGAAGAGAGCCTATTTAAATCATTATTTTATTAGATTTATGTATTTTAAAATAGAGCTTTCATTTTTTTACTGGTTGTTACAGATTTCATATTACTACATAAGTTATTTTTGTACCACTGAGGTACAATAAAGCATGTTCATTAACCTTTAAGAAACCTGTCTGAATCTGTCTTGAGAGTGGCTCCTTTTTGGAAATCAAAATATGGTCACCCTATATTTGAATGAGAACAAAGCAATGCTAACATTCCGATCATGTAGAAGTCCTAAAACTTCCTAAAGCAAACAGATAAAATTTAATTCCTCATAATCAGACTTGTTGAACCAAAGATAGTCTCCATATGTCTTCATGGCTCCACTCAGGTCACAGTCCTCATCTTAGGCACCATTAGCCCAGCATTCGAAATACACAAAATGATCATCAACCCAGAACCAAAAGTCCAGGGTGCAGGTGTAATGAAGGCCGAGCCATATGAAGGGACTGTTGGCCTTCTCAGCCTCCAGCTCAGCAAAGGCTTGCATCTGTTGATCCAGGATGGAGGCCAGATCTCTGTGGTTATCTCTGCAGTGGTACAGGGCCTCTTCCCTGGTCTTGTTTTCCGTAATTAGTCCAAAAAGTGATTCTTAAACAGAGAAAAGGCCAAACTTGGGTTAAATAAAGTTTGGGAGGCACAAACCTATAAACATTTTGAAACAACATTTTCTTGGAGGGTCCAATAAATTCTGTGATTAATTAAGAAAAGGAAGAAACTAAATCAGTTTTTTTGGAAGCATTTGTGCTCCTCAGTCAAAAAAATGTAACTTTCTCAAACACTTATCTGTCACACTTGTTAGTAGGACACCAGACAGAGATTCTACCCAGAATAAAATACCTCAAACCAATACATTACTAATTCTAAGCCTTTGTATGGTGAGAGTTTATAAACAGGGATCACATACCAATCTTTGTGCCGGTGATGTGTATGTCACAAATAATCATATATTGGTGTTTGTGTATGAAAAGAGTGACATAGCGCCCCAACACTGATGGTTGAAGCTCATAGATATTGAACTGGTCTGTTTGGAAGTTGGTGATGTTTTGAATCCTATATTTAAGAGAAGAAAAACAAACCATGTCACAATTTGGCCGTAAATATTAACTACAATCAGCTAGAAATTGTTAACAATCAATAACTTCATTTGCAGCTCAATTAATGCAGCTGCTATGAAGATACTAATGGAGCAGAAATCTGGAATATTCACAACAGACAGAGACAGAAAAAAGTCGTAGAACGGGTCGCTCTTATAAATGATACACCATGTATCAAGAAATATCTATGTTTAAATAAAGGATTAAACAGATGAAAAACGGTACCTGTGGGATTCACATAAGGATTAGACTGTTTGTAAACTATATCTGACATGACATTCAATCATGAACCATTCAGTGAGACTTTAAGCACCATTGTCAAAAAAAAAAAGCTTCAGACAAATATCTAACCATAAGGTAGATTAGGGGTTTCTAATACCCCATTTACACTACCCTTGAAAAACCGTGCCGAGACCGGTCCAAGCTTAGTAACTGAGATAACTTATCGTGTGTAAATGGAAAGCAAACTGAACTGAACAGAGCATTACACAACTGAACCGAGATAACTGGAGACCAGTTCCAGAGTTGGGCTCGGCTCGGTTTTTCCCTGGCTTGGTTCTCTGATAACAAAAGCGCATGAGCATGAGCAGATCGCATCATCTCCGTCTGGCTGCACATACCGATTCACACTCCATTCCAGTAGTTGGCGGTAATGCCCCTCCGGAAACAGAAGAAGAAGAACAACTTCTTAAACTATAAACAGCAATCGAAATCTTCTCCACGCAACAATTTAAATAATGGCATCTTAAATAATAACACTGAAGTACAGCTCGTTCAGCTCTATATACGGGTCAGCCCAGCTATTGGGGCCAGATAATCTTGTACCGGTAAGTTTGTTAGTTTAAGTTATTCCAAGGCTCATGTCCCTGTCCCCAGAGGCCAGTGAGTTGAGAGGGTTTTGGTGTTTGTCTCCTGTATCCTGATCGTATCCTGGCTCTTTCCCGCTCTCTGTTCCGTTTTGGCTCAGTGGAGTTGAAGCTAGTTTATCTGGCTCCTATGTGGAGTATAGTCTAAAGTTCTGCAGTTATCCTGGTACCATGTTTTGTCTGCATCTGAGCGTGTCTGCCTGAGTTCGCTGCAGGACTCATGGATTCTTGGAACCCTGAATCTGTCTGTCCTTGTGTGGATCGGAAACCCTGACTGGGCTACAGACTCCTGGATTCCAGAACTTTCCTGTCTGATCTGTTTTCCCTGACCTGGATTGGATTCCTTGGGGAAAAGTAGATCCAAACCACCAGTTTGAATCCTCAGCTCAGTTTGATGCGCAGAAAATCCTTTGAGGGGGGAGAAGGTCCAAAACATCCAGTTTGCAGGATGAGATCCTGCCAAGAGGCAAACACAAAAACAACAAGATTAAGACTCAGGTGACAAAACTCAGTTTGACACAGCAAAACTCAGCTTGGCTAGAGTACCCAAAACTGGCAAACACTCTGGCATCGATGTAGTGGCAGTCAGCAGCTTAAGAGTCCTCCGGTAATGAGGCAACCATCCGCAGGTGTGTGAGGAGGCCAAAGAGAACCAGGCACCGCCTGGTGGTGGAGGGAAAACAAACAAAAGCACAACCCACACAAACTGGATTCCTAACAGTTTTAGTTAAATAAACGTTTTGAACTTTCCCACTGTCTGTCTTGCCTGGAATATTTGGTCCATCTGTTCCCGTTTTATGAGATAACCACATAAGCTGAGAGCGACCACATACTAGCTGACCAGATCATTACACATTATTAGCTTTCCTTATAAAGAAGCCTACCATATGTTCAGAATCAAACATCTACAGTTATAGTTTTTTAAATTGGTAATATGAATATTAAAAATACTAATATAGCAACATAATTATACCATTTAGGTTTTTAGATGCTGCATTGTTTATCAGCTGAACACATTCCAATTGTTCTAAATCAATTTCAAAGTAAATTTGAGCCTTTTCAAATTTAGTTATTCAGTTATTTTGTTGTTTTTGAAAAATCTGCACAATGAAACTTTTACCAATAAATTGATGGATGGATCTTTTTATAAAAAAAAATACTACACCTGTTTTTGTCCATTATTTGCATGATATTAAGGGCAGGATTGGCACTTTTTTTCAATATAAAGCAGGAGGGGAGCTCAGTCAGGAAGAAACAACCAATTACTGTAACTTGACCATGATCAGATGGCATATACATTGTTCAGTATCAGAATTACCATACAACATTTTTTTTATAAATTCAATAACTTGATTTGATCCTTTAATATCGGCTTTCTGACACCGTTGTTGATGAAATAAAGAAACCCCATGCAGGGCCCTAATAATCCAGTACACCCAAGGAAAAAAAAATCCCACCAATGTGAGGCTGTAAAACATATGTATTGTCCTCAAAAAAGTTTTTTTCTTCTTCTTTTTATTATAATCAGATATGCAAATCTCAAGGCAACTCACATGTAAAACATAATTAAACTCTTAAGTTGATCCAGACGTTTTGCTTCAAACAGCAATTATTTAGCTGGTTTGACAAAAATAAATGTTACATCTTGTAAAAAGTTACCCTGCATACCCAGAAAATCCACTTTTTCATAATCCAAAATCCAGTTACTACAGTGATGTACAGTGATGTGCAGTGCAAGCTACATAGAATTATAAACTTTCTATGTGTACTTCAACAATGCAAAAAAAAAAAAAAACATAACTGTTATTCAAATCAAAGAAGGAGCTGTTTTGATGGTACCCAAGCAATGCTAACATTATAACCAGGTAGAAGTCTCAAATCTTCCTAAAGCAAACAGATAAAATTAAACTCCTCATAATCAGACTTGCTGAACCACAGATGGTCTCCATGTGTCTTCATGGCTCCACTCATGTCACAGTCCTCCTCTGGGGGGTTGTTAGCCCAGCGTTTGAAATGTACAACATTATCATCAACCCAGAACCAAAGGTCCAAAGTGCAAGCATAGTGAAGGCCGAGCCATACAAAGGGGCTGTTGGCCTTCTCAGCCTCCAGCTCAGCAAAGGCCTGCATCTGTCCATCCAGGATGGAGGCCAGACCACAGTGGAATTCCTTGCAGTGGCCCAGTGCTGCTTCCCAGGTCTTGTTTTCCTTAATTAGCTTAAAAGGTGATTCTATAAAAAAAACAAGATTTAATAAGTTTGGGGAACATAAACAGTTAATTTTGAAGATTTTACATTTGCGCGCATGCAATTTGACTTTTTCAAGTTAAAATGTGTGTGTGGGTTTTGGGCCTCAGTTAATTAATTTCAATTCAGTTTATTGACATAGCACTAATTTACAACACATGACATCTATAGGCACTTTCAAGATTTGAACTTTGGTAGGGACACTATTGGTCGGGTGTCATTGGGGCTATGCAATATGCATGCCCTTTTTTTATGCTTGACGTGAGCATCAGTACGATGCTCAAGAATTCATTGTTTAAAGAGAAAAGCAGCATTTTGCTACATCAATAAAACATTTTATAAGCACTACACTCACCGGCTCTGATGAATGTGGAATTAGGACTGTTTTCCACTTTGAAAATGTTTTCATTTGAACGACTAAGACAGAGGGTACATATACAGTATTTTTTTTTTTTTTGAAGATATAGAATTGTGCAGAGGTAAACCCCACTCTTATATTTTTATCTACTATGCTCTCTCACTTTGCTCTATCAAGCGAAATAATACATTAATTAAAATATTAACTTCACTATAAAAGTGAACATCTAGGCTGTAGTTACTCTGTGTAGCCCATTTCATGTATTTTATCTGGGGCTGAAAATTTAATCGTATTAATTGATTATTTCAATATTCGTCAACTAATTTAGAAAGTAATTCATCATTAACTGGAGTATAGAGACTCTAAAACATTATATAAATGTAAAATGTGCCTCTCCTCAACCGAGTAACCCACTGAGATCAGTAATTATACCAAAATTGTAAAAAAAAATATATATATAATATATATATATATTAGGGGTGTGGGAAATAATCGTTTTGGCGATATATCGTGATATTCGGCTGCCCAATATAATATCGATCTTTCACTTCTTAGTATCGATTAAAAAAAAAAAAAGGTTACATAAAACATTGATGGGAAAATGGGCTACCTCTGCACCACCACTCTGGCAGAAAGCGCTGTGGAGCCCTTTAACTGTGC